CGCCGTGCCCGGCTCCTGCGGCCGGGACAGCCTGGGCCCTGCACTGGTAGGTGCGAACACGAGTAGAGCTTCGAGAGACACACCTGTCCTTGCGCTGGACCAAAGCACGGACTGTGCCGCGGCAGAGAGAGGAAAAATAGTTGGTTCGGGTTTTTGCTGTGCTCTGTGTGGAATAATGAGCACAGCCAGAGGAACTGCTCCTAGCTATGAGAGGGAAGTGAGACTTATTCACCACTGTTAGGGCGAGCTAGGAAATGGTTTGTGTTGTGCCTTTAACGGCACAAGTCTGTGGTTCCTGTGGTGTATATCAAACAGTTGTCTTTTCGAAGAGAGCAATATCAAATACAATTTGTTAAATGGGCCTTGGAATTATTTTAATTTCTGTAGTTGAAGAACCTGGTATATTGAATCTGGAAGAGTCCAGATTGCTTTCGGAAGTGTGAATTAAAAACACTTCTAGGAATGCCTTGAAGAAAAATATTTTCCTTTTACATTCCGGATCACAGAATTGCAAAGGTTAGAACAGTTCTTCAAGATCATTGAGCTCAACCATTAACCCAGGACTGCTAAGGCCACCACTAACCCACATCCTCAACTGCCACATGTACACTTAGTGAACTTCTGCAAGGATTGAACTCTCTCAATTACTGATGGAAAGGGTTTAATTTAAGCCAAAGTCAAAACATCTTAGCATGTGATGCCTTTCATTCTGAAACCTTGCTTTGTTCTGGTTTTGTCTATTTCTGTTAACTTTAATAAGATTTAACTCAATCCAACATTGAGCTCAAACAAGGAATTTAAGGGAAACATTATGTTCTTAGGTCACTTTTTTTGTATCTCTTCTAACAAATGTGGCTTCATATCTACCTGTTCTACAAGAGCAAACTGTTTTCTGTAAATAATATAATAATATAATATAATAGTTCTTCCTTGTGCAGTTGTAATTAAATTATTTTGGGACACTAAGTATATAATATTTGTTTAAATGACTATTAATATTTAAGTCCTGCTCTTCATGCCAAATGAGTTAATATTTCAAACATATAAATGTGTCCCTTATCAAATGTTTTTCCAGTCATTCTCATGTCATCCCATGCTTTGGATGACAGCTTGTTCCCATTGTTGCTTTATTTTTTTAGATTCCTTGTGGTGTGTTCTGTGTCTTGTTTGTGAATTATGTCTGCCTTTGCAATTCTTTGTGTAAGAAATTTTCTTTTAGCAAGTGCTTCAGTAGTTAGAGTTTTTTCCTGCTTAGGATTAAACAAAAAATCCAAACTGAAACCCCTTGAAGTTCTGCTGTGGTTGTCTCATGTGCTAGGCCTGCTGTTCAGATTGCTTTCTCAAGGCTTCTTTTGAAGCTCAGTAACTGCTTCCTATAAACAGACTTTGTGGCTTTCACTATCTGCTCTAGCTGTATTACCAATGTCCTACTGCTAGAAGGGTGGTTAGTGCTGCCTTGCACACAGTTTACAACTATGATAAATCATTTGCATGCTCTTAGCTGGATCAGCATACTGTAAATTCCTTATATTGTCTCTCATTTCTGTTTGTGCTATTGACCTACTCAGGCAGTCACCTGCCAGCCGATGACATAAGTTGACTGTGCAGTGTTTGGAGTGCTCATTAGCACAGTGCATACATGGCCTGGGAACTGCTGGCCTCGGACAGACCAGGAGATGTTATCGGTGTTTAGCATCTTTTGTTTTCAGGCAAACAAAAAGGGTTTGCTTTCCAGCACAGCAGGAGGCTCTAGCGTGCTCTGACATATAAAGTCTCTGAAATGCACTCTGAGGATTAAGTTTGCAGTTGGGTGTTCTTTGTGCAGAATTTAGCTTTGGTATCAGATTGTGGGTTTGGTAGTTTCCATTAAGGCTATTCTGGTACAGTGAGGAAGTACCTAATTAGCTTTGATCAGGACACCAGTCAAGAAGGTCTTTGCCTAAAGGCCTAATTCTGCAGAGCATGAAAGAGTAGATATGGATCCCTGAAATCTTACTTGGTATTTGACTTAAAGCCAGATATGATCCTGCAACATTTTTGCTGAAAGCTGAAATGCAAATATATAATATATATTTACTGTTGGACAGAACAATTGTTTTCCAAAATCACTTTCCTTGTTGCTTGCTATGTCGGAACTGACCACTAGAACAATTAAATAAACAATTAACTTCCTCTCATTCCCTGCCTTTTTAGTGTGATTTTCTGCATGGATGTCTTAAAGAGTACACCTGGTATAATGTATAAAGTGCTCGTATTTTGTGGAGAACTGTTTGAATCTTGTTCCTCATTAGAAGTGTGATGGAGTAGAAGCCATTAGTAGAACAGAACTGCTTTTTGCTGTGTTGAATGGAACTTGAACTGCGCAGCTCCTTAGAAAAAGGGGCCTCTAGTGCAGCCAGGCATTTGCTCCAAATAACACTTTGCTTTATGGCTGGACTTGTTGAATAACAGTTAACTCTGGTTTTGTTGTAAGCTGCTAATTGTTCTGCTCTTTTCACCTACAGGTTGTGACTGTTTCTCTTCTGTCATTTGTGTGGAAAGTGCCACACACACTCCAGAACAACAACGGCTTTTGCTTGCATATTCCAGTGTTTCTTTTGTCAGCGAGTTCAGCAAAGTTGTAATTCTTCAAGTGCCAGCCCTGAGCTGAGTGAGGAGCCACCAGCAGAGATGGTAAAAATGACAAAATCAAAAACGTTCCAGGCTTACCTGCCAAACTGTCATCGAACCTACAGCTGTATCCACTGCAGAGCCCATCTCGCCAATCACGATGAATTGATCTCCAAGGCAAGTGGTTTCTTTAGAGACCTCATAAATTATTTCTTAACCAAAATGGTTGTCACTGTGACACCACTGCTGGTAGATAAGGGATGCAAATTGATGCATACTTCAAGGTATCTTCCCTGGGTTCACTCTTGGGTCATGCATGTGTGTACTAAGAACTGGATATATTCTGGAAACTTCTGAATGTATCATAAAGGTTGATCTAATACATTTCCCATGTTAACGACCTGTGTCTGCTGTCAGGTGGGTTCTATTTGTGAGCTGTTGTATCTGAAAAATCTGCTGAGGAAAACTGTCAGAAGAAAGCATGTATCTCTGTGTAGGGAAATTAGTCTGGTTACAGTTATTTCCGATAGAGACTTCTTTGACTGTTGGATTGAAGGTCACAAAACTGTCTGTTTCCAGAGTGTCCCATTTGTGTTATGGAATCTGTAAACATGCTTTTGCTGTCTAAGGAAAATGATTAGCCAGAGATGTTCAAAATAGTTGGGCTGTCTGAGCTTAGAGAGTAGGTAGAACCTTGGAACAGGCTAGGCCTGCCCTTATTTCCTGTTGCTAGAAGAAGCCAAGACTTGTGATGTATGAAATATGTAAAGAAGTTTGGGATAAATACTTGACAGACTGGTTAATTCTTTGCTCCAGACAAACTCCTGGTTAAATTGCTCTTTATGCTGTCATGAAGAAAACACTTAGTTGCTTTTCAAACATATTACAAAATGTTCCCTATATAACTGATTTGTCAAATAAAATTAGTTATAAAGGGTTTGACACTAAAAGTTCTCTCTGTTGCTCCTGTTTGTGTTCAGCAGCACTCAGGTGATGCTGCTTTTCAGTGCTGAAGAGATGGGAAGGCTTGAAAATGCTGCTACTTCTGAATTCAGGTTTTCTTTGGGTGAGGAGAAAGTATACCTGCTTGCTTATCCAAGGGCTATCCAGCAATAATGGGTTTTCCCCATACAGCTTTTACACTTTACTGGAATTTAATTTTTTTTTCCATGTTGATTTCAGAATTTAAGAGGCCTTTTTGGCACCACTGGATTCTAAATTACAAGCACTCAGAGTTTCATTATTTACTTTGTGTTCAGGGCCAGAAAATACTAGGAGGGGTTAATCTTTCCTGAACTTCAGGTTGAAGATACCTACAGGAAGAAAGAAACTTTTGCTGTTTCTCTTAGGATTCATTGAGAAAATACAGTCCAAGCACATAATAGGAAGCTTTTTTTTTTTTTTTGTGGATTTAGATTTTTGCATGCCAGGTAAGCTGCCACAGTTGCTACATGAGCCAGTTTTCTCCAAGGGCTTGGGAGCTTTGGTCAACAGAATACTTCAAATAGGTTAAGTAAATCACGTGTTTATTTTACAGTTTCATAAATAATTTCAAACATTAAGAATCGAATTTCTAATTTGAAGAAAACGTAGAGGACTCTTCAAAAAATCTCTAGTAAATACAAATAATTGCTTCTAAGTTGTTTCTAATGGTGTTGGGAAGGGTCTTAGAGGTGGATTCTACTTGATTTTTGGGTTCCTTAATTTTTGATGTAGACACTTCACAAAAGTATTTGTACTTGCAGGTTGACCATATGTTTATTTGACAGCTGATTCATATTTTGTCAATTCAGGATTTTTTTTAACCATATTTTATTGTCTAAATCTGTATGGTAAAAGAGAAATGCATTTAACTGTGTGGTATATTTTTGTATGTTTTTAAAATAAAAAGAACATTTGTCATCTATTGTACTTGTATTTGGGACATAGCTTTGGAAAACCCATCTTCCTTAGGCTGAAGCTTTACATAATCCAACATCAGAGAAGTTCTTCTGATGGAAACAACTGCAAAGCAATAGACAGACTTGGATCATTAAAAATAAGTACAGCTGGCCCTGGGAAGGGTGAAGGGTGCAAATAAAATCAGATTTTTTTTGTTTTGTTTTCTGAACTTCAATTAAAGTGCCTTTGTTGAAGCACATCATATGCAATGAACTTAGGTTAGAGATAGTTCTTTGACATACCGAGAATCCTAGTTACTGTAACTACTCAGATGCAGGAAAAAACCCCCAAACAAACACAAACCAGTGTGAAGTATAGCAAGTTGATTTTATACCATCTAAAGTTAACAAAGAACAGTGTGGTTCCTGGGCTGGCTTGGATTTATTGACGGAGTAGAGACTTAGACTGTTCAACCTGACTTCCCCCCCATTGCCATACCTTGAAGGCCTAGTTCAAATCTAAAGCTCTGTGTTGCATTCTCTAAATAGAATTTTTGGTTGCAGATTCTCACTTTCTTCCAAATGCTTCCTGTACCATCTCATGCCAGAACCCAGTGCCACAGGACCTTTGCAGCAGATAAAGGCAAACAGTATTTACTTAATGCCTGGCTGAAGCTGCTTCCTTTGGGGGCTGTCCCTCACCCCATCTTTTCTGGGGACATGGTGCTTGTTTCTTCCTCATGTGTGGTCAGGGAAAATGAACCAAAATGTGTGGTGCACTTCTAATTTAAAGCAACTCCAACTGGCTTTCTAATGTGCTTTGAGGTGTAAGGATTTATTATACCTGACACTGTAGTGGTTTTTGACTTGAAGATGAAAAGATAAGCTATGCTGTGAACTGGGTGGTGTTTCTCTTAAATGTTGGTCTGTCATGGAAAAGCAAAAAGTGCTGCAGATTTCTGTCAATCAATCCCTTTGATTCTCATCCTCAGAATACCTGACTTCAATACAGATTTGCAATTCTTCTGCTTTTGAGAGCTGTTGATGTCAATTGTCTGACAAGGATGGCAGCATACACGAATCACCTTTTCATTTTACTTCTGTTCTTTTTGAGCAGCAGGATCTCTTTCTTGCCCTGGAATGAATCACAAAGTTCTCTTTTTCTTGTGCCCTTGCTGGTGACAAAATGGCAACCAAGAGTCTTGGTAATGGCTTAGAAATAAGAACACAGATTAATGAGACAGGACAAAAATGTGTTACCTGCGCAAGTGAATTCACTTCTGGTTATCGCTTTCTCTGCAGCTGTGAAAGGACTCTGTTGCCTGGTGTTGAAATCAACATGTTAGTGGTAGAACATACATTTCTAGAGGTTTTCACTCTCAATATAGGAGGTAGTAACCTTGTGTTTTCTGCCTGGAGAAGGCTTGGAGAGAGGACTGGTTGAGATTAGGAGCCCCAGACTTGGGAGGTCATTGTCAGTAGAGATAATGAGAAATGTTACTCTGTACAGCTGGACACATGCACACATGTAACAACAGTTGCAATAAAAATTTATAACTTCCAGATTATCTTGGGGTAGGCATTGATTTGAAGGAAACATAATAAGAGAACTAATGAACTGTAGGTTCAAATAAACTTTGGATTGAAGTAAGTGCGAGGTGGTGTCAGGTGCATCTGAGACATGACTGATTTGTGCTGCTAACAAGTATGTGAGTGCTGGAGACTTCAGACTGTCAGGATGTTAAAGGATTTTTTAAATGCGATGAGAAGGAATAAACCAATCATCACTACACTATCTTTACAAGATGGGGAAGAACCTATGCTTTTTAAAATTTCTTCAAAGAGGCAAATATTTTTCAAATCATATCCTACCATGATTGTAGGCAGGAAGAAAAGTAAACTATGAGCAAATAGCCACAGGTCTTAATCAAGAGTAAGGCAAGGAGGTGATGCCATAGGAAGCCCTTGGTCAATTTAAAATGGATACTATAGGAGACACTTCTTGGATTTAAGATGTCCAAACAGCACATAAAAAGTGACCAAACAGTATTTGTTAATATTTTTTAAAATCCAAACATAATTAAATTTTGTGAGAACTCATACAAGACTCCTTGAAGTACAGGGGATGTTGTCACTTGTGTGGCCTAAAAAAATTTTATATATTTGCTACTCTTGGAGCAGTTCTGGAATAAGTTTTGTGGAAGGCCCAACTGAAAGAGCTTTGTTTTGTTTTGTTTTGTAATATTAGGAAATATGCAGTGATTATTAAGAGCACTTAATTTTATAGGAGACAAATGTTACTTGAAGGGCATAAGTTCCAAAGCACTTGAGAGTGGCTTGTACCTACCAAGTTCCAATAATTGTTTAGAAATTCAGGTATGATCCAACAAATTACAAAAAAATACAAATACTTAATAGAATCTTGGAACCTATTTGGTATACTGCAAAGAATAATGTTTTGTTACTCAAGGTTGACCTGCTTGAAAGACTGTTGAAGCATCTTAGAGTGTGTCTTAATTCTGGAAATGGAGAGAATTTGGATTACTTTGCATAGATGTCTGTATAAATACTGTCACTTTCTTCTGTCTCATTCATTGGCAAGCATATCTGACCAGAGGGGAAAAAAGTCATGTGAAGTCACAGACAAGACTAGATGTGTCAATATTTTCAAGACTGAGTTCTGCATAAAGGTATATATATATATATATATATAAAAACTGTCATTGACTGCACTGGGAAATCCTTGCACCTTGTGGGTGAAATAATGATGTTGGTGGTTAAATTTAATTCTCCAAGGCATTCAGTATGATTGCTCTTCTATTATTGATGAGAAGGAAGAGTCTTAAGCCTAAACAGACGCTAAAACATTTTTAGGCTTGCTTAGCAATCTGTGGTTTTGTCTTCCATTGTTTAACTGATGAGATCAAGAGGACTTTTTTTAAAGGGTTTATTGTCTTTAAGTAAATATGCTGTGCTTAGCTTGGTTCAATTTGTAATCTTCCTTTGCTTATGGTATAATGAGTATTTAGAAAAATAGATGGGCCTGTTTTATGTATGCTTGAAGGCTGTTTTTGTTCCCTCACTAATTTCATAAATATTCTGGTGATAATTTTTTTCTCCAAGAGACTTCTAGTTTTTTGAGTTCATCTTTTTCTTCTGGGGGAAGAATCTAGTTTTTGAAAGAGAAGCAATCTTTGGAGAACATCCAAGAATAGATTTGAAGGCTTAAAGAAGTTGGAAAGTGCAAGGGAAGTGTTCTACTCTGTGTATTTTGACATAATTATTTCTGAAATCCATTCAAGAAGCTGCATAGGTCAAGATAACTTGTCCTGCCTGACAAAGTCTTCACTTTGGGGAAATGCCATTTGCCAGCTTTGCAGGCATGCAGCATGTAGTTTTTGGGGTAGAATTTTTTAAGGTTATTCTCTACATATTGGACTTCTATAACTTGCTTTATCAAATTCAGTAAATAATTGAATGAAAATGAACTTTAAAAAGAAAATATTTATTATGGAGTCTTCTAGAACTTTCCTAGGAAGCTGCTGAGCAGCAGCATCTCTGGTGGTCTGCATTATCAAAGAGTTGGATGTAAGGAAAACACCAACTGGAAAAAATGTGGGGCTTTCCCCCGATAATTTTTTTTGTCTGTACCTTATGTTGAATTCAGTTTTCTGAATTTATGTTGCAAGTCTTGAAGTGAGAGAATATCTCATGCATCTTGCTGAGGACATAATTTCACACATCTGAGCACTTGTGTTTCTGGTTTACTTCAAGAATGCTGCCCCTAACAAATACAATTTTCTGTATTTCCCTAATTTGTTTATTTGTTCAGAGAACTGATTCAGCTTGATCTATCGTAGCTTGTAAAGGGAACTCCAGCAAATGAAAGGAAACTCAAGAAAATTAAACCGAATTAAGACCTATGGACTTCTTTCGTTTTCCTTCTTTAATATTTTATTTCTGTGTTTCAAGTAGCTTGGAGACAAGACACTGGTAATGCCCCTGGGCTCAGAAGAACACCTACCTCGTCCCCAGTACATGCTAAGACATCGGTTTCCCTGGGTATTTGCTGTAGAATGCGATCTCTGGCCATGCAATCTAATCCCATCTCTGGGGAATAATTGATGGCATAAGCTTTTCAGTAGCATCCCTTCCCCCACCCATGCCTTCAGCTGTGCCTTAGGGCAGTAAATACATGTTCTGCTTGACTGATACTTTTTCCTCCTGAGTAAAGCAGCTAATCCTGGTGTTAGAGGTAAGGGTGGGTTTAATTTACAAGCATAGATCGTACCTAATTCTGCATGTGTAGGAGTGCGCAAGTGAAACACGTATAAAGCTTCTTTACTACGTGATGTATTGGTGACAGAGGTCTGTCAGATGCCTTGAAAAGATCCTAGTTCCAAGCTGTTCTTGCAGGTGACTTTACTGTAGTTTATAAACATAATTAGACATTATTTCTGGTACTATTAGACATTCTGGATACTTTCAGCTGTGCTGAAACAAGAAAGCATGATAGATCTTAGACAGCCTTCTGTATAAATGGGCAGCTGGTCAAAGATAAGGATTTTCTAAGGAATAAGTTAACTCATAAATTTCCCAGCTTCTAAGTAAAAATCCTGGTTGCTGTGAGTCGTTGATGAGAGTTGGTCACACTTGCCACTCTCTTCTAATTCCTCTCTAAGGCATATTTAAGACTGTTGGAATAGAATGTTCTGCTTTAGTTTTGATTTATATGTTGTGCTTGTGATCTTGGAAGTGCTGAATAAATGTTGCAAAGTTAAAGTTTGTTTGCATAGGTGATGTTTATTCTATTGAAGAGTGGTTTGTCTGCAGACTGGTTTGAACAGTTGTGCCTGTTAGTCCTTGACACTGCCATTTAAAGTACTTGCTTTCATTTTCTTTGTGGAGTTGACACACAAGGTGTTCAACCTGTCAGACCCTTAAAATTCGTATTGGTGTAACTGAATCATACAGTGCAGACTGTGAGAAACCTAGTGCTGGTAAAAAGCAAATGTTCAGTATTAATTTTTTTTGACTTATGCAAAATATTGTTTATAGCCAAGTTATAAGCTTAGCAAGCAGCTCAGACACCAAACTGAGTTGTCCTCTTGTAATTTCTAGTAGTAGGATGCATCAGAAAGTAGAATTCTGATAATAAATACTTCTTACACCATTAGGAGAATGCATCTGGGAAAGATGTATACATTTTTGTGGTGTTTGACTAAAATTTTGGGGGGAAAAATCTCAGCTGTTCATGTGAATAGGAAACAGACTGCCAAGTGCTAACAAGAGATGGGTAATAAAAGACATGGGAATTTAAAAATGGATATCTTTGCAGTGCTCTTATTCCAGTCAGAGCCATGTAAGAGCTCTGCATGGCTGGACTGCAGACCATTCAGTGCCCAATGAAACACAGATGATGTGGCTGGGACCTGGTTTTAAAGGGAAGTCAGAGTTGCCTGGACCCACGTTCTGTGTTCCAGAATGCAGTTACACAAGTTGCTGCAGGTTCTTGTTGAGTTATCTGAGTGATGTAAACATGGAGGAACTTGCTCTTTGCAGCTGGGCAAGAAACAAGTGCTCTGTGGCATGTAAATACAATCCTTAGCCTCTAAACATGACTGTAGGTAGGAAAAGATGGTATCAAATGGATCAGTCATACTCTGGGAAGGGGAAGCAAGGCTGGAATGGAGGAGCTTTTCACAGTGAGATGTTTGTGAACAGACTTTCTAAAATCACTGTCACCGGAAAAGATTCTCTGTTGCCTTTCCCTCTGCTTTACCTTGATAATCCTAAAAATGAGAAGGTAATGGCCATTTCTGAGGGTAAATAAGCTAGGAGAGTGCAGTATATCTAGGGCAACAAAGCAAAGGGTGCAAGAAAAGTAATCTTTAAAAATATATTAGGAAAAGAAAAACAACTAAAGCAGTGCTTTCCAACCAGTGGTTTGTATTTCATTTGGCTTGAATTTTTTTTGAGCTTATGAAACAAGAGAGGAGAATAGCTGCTTTTTGTGCTATTCCTGGCATCCTGTTACTGCCCTCTGCTTACTTTTGAAAAATGCAGGGTCAAAGGAGAGCTTTTATTAGGTGATACTAAGTCAAGACTAAACATAAACTTGGCAGAAATACTGCATAAGATAGTTCAGGAGATCTCCTGACTCTTGTTGTTTTCTGGAGTCTTTTTTTCTTCTCCAGCCTGCTGGGGAACTTCAGGTATGGCATATAAGTAGTTTAAAAATTATTATATAGGACCAAACAAAACAACCTCCAACCCACCACATTAATTTGTATGTGATTGGCATGTGTAATTACACTAACACATGATTAATAGAGAGTATTTCTTGGTGGTATTTGTAAAAGGATTTGTGAATTCTAATTCACAAGTTTTTAAAGCAAGGGGAATGGCTGCAACCTCTTTAATTTTAGGAATTTTTACAGTAGCTTAACCAAATATGGTCATCATGGCTTTGGAGGTTTTTTTTAATAATATCAGGTATGTGAAACAAAGAAGTTACAGTTTTACATTTTACTGAATAAGAGGATTTTTGAAGTGTTTCCTTTACCTTTTCTTAAATTTTGGAGTTGCATATCTGTAGTTTTCTCCAAGTTAATGTGTTGTTTACCCAGGCTGGTTACTCATTTGTTAATGGGCAGTTTTTAAGAGTATATATCTGAAGAGTTTTTGTTTTCACCTGCAGTAAACATTCTCTGTTTGTTACTGGCTCTAGTCTAGAGAGTCCTGGTTATTCTGTAGGAACTGCAGAGTGTAGGTCTGCACCACTCTGCCAATTTTGTGATGTTTAAGTACCTCAGGAGAACTGAACTAGTGGGGGTTTTGTTTGTTTTAAAGGCAGCTGGAAATTACTTTCTGCCAGAACTGTTCTGACTCTGTCCTCAACCAGGTCTCCTCTTTTCAGGGTCACTACCACCTGAAGTTTCAGCTTTCACTGTCCTGTACAGCCTATCTGGTTTTCCTTGCCTGGTGAAAAATAAGACTTGTAGTTCTGGCTGGTGGAGACAGTACTTTTTCTTAGAACCTCCTTAGAATCACTGAGGAGTTGGACTGTAAGGTCATCAAGTCTAACCACAAACGCAACACTGACAAGTCTACCTCTAAACCGTGTCCCCAAGTGCCACATTTGTGTCTCTGTGACTCCATCACTGCCCTGGGTAACCTGTTCCAATGCTTGACAACCCGTTTGGTGAAAAAATGTTTTCTGGTATCCAACCTAAACCTCCCCTGGTGCTACCTGAGGCCATTTCCTCTGGTCTTGTCACTTGTTAGATGGGAGAAGAGACTGACCCCACCTTGCTACAACCTCCCTTCAAGTATTTGTGGAGAACAATAATATGTTCTCTCAATACTTCTTTCAAATGGTTGCTAAAATAATAAAATATTAGTGCTATAAGCTGTTAAGTAGAATTTCTCTTCTGATGTTTAAGATTTTACAGATACATGAGGGCTGTATGTGACTGCCACTATTGCTACCTAGAGCAGTCCAGAGTCAGGGATTTCTTTAAACATTCTTTATTTCAGTATATAATCTGGTTAGTGTTGATCAAAAAGGGTTAATTTAGATGCATTTTCCTTTTACAGGGTGTGGGGATTTTTTGCACACTGTTCTGAGTAATTAAAAGACAATAATTATTGCTGTTGTTTTGCTAGTTGGTAGACCAGCAAAATACCTATTTTAGTGTCAAATGACTTTGATACTAAAAATGATGTGGTGTGATGATATAACTAGATATAACCTGTCAGAAGAAGAATCTGTTGCAGAAAGGACCTTCTGCCTATGATTTCATGCCTGATGTTACTAAAACCGTGCAAAAGTATTCAGGTTGATATTTTTCTTCCAGAAACCTTCCATGTTGATCTAATGCAGGCTTCTGAAAAGTTGGTCTGTGATGTTCAACACTAGAACCACAGGGATTGTTAAAAACAATGGTACTTTCTTTGCATCATGGATAAAGTAGTTGATTTTCTTTGAAAGTAGGTTAGAGAATGGAAAGGCTGAAAGAAAAAAAGAAAGTAAGACAGTTTACAGTTTTGGATTTTTTTTCTTAAATGGAATTCAGTGTGGAAGAGAGAAAAAAAGAAAAACTCAGTTCCAGTATGATCCTGTTTGGATGGAAAATGTGTGTGTCTAAATTACCAAGTAATTCAATGCAGAAGGAACCAGATGAAAGCAATGATGTGTCTGACACAGGTTTGGGATGTTTTACCTGTGGCTGTCTCTGATCTGCTCACAAGTTCTCCCAGCATGTCTGCAGCTCACATCCTGAGCACGTTTGGGGCTCTGTGTGCATTAACATTGCTGAGTGCATGGAAGAAGAGCTGCTGGTTTAGTTGGTTCAGAAGGATCAAGGGTGCAGTTCCCAGGCATTGAAACTGCTCCACAAGCCAAACCAGGCCCCAGTAAGTGTGGCTGATTAGGGGTTTTAATTCAAAACTGTGCTACTGCTCTGAACTAAAACATTAATTTAGATCCAGCCAAGAAAGTCTAAGTCATTGTTTGCCCATAATTTGTCAGGAATGTGAGAGATTTGAAAGCATTTGCCTGTGGTCAGACATTTGATGGTAACAGTTGTCTTACTAAAATGAAGCTGAGCTTATCTGTGAATTATAAACTGATCAGATGCATTTCCTGAGTACAGTATGCTGGGTTTATGCTTGGTCCATAATTTCACTGCTCTTATATCAAATGATGCAATGAAATTTGAAATAAATCATCTTTTGGCTGCAGCAGTGGAAGACAGAGGAGACGGGAGTAATTCCCTTTGAGTTAAAAGCAGATTATTTCAATTAGCATGAAGGATGTCTAGGAAAATGAGAATTGATATCTTGCAGAGGGGTAGGAAAAAACTGTTTTGCTTGGGTTATGGATGTTGAATTTTGAGCAATAGCACTTGACAAAGTAAAATAAAATCATTGTTAAAAATCTAATGTAGATGACAACTTGTCTGACCAGACTTTCCTATAAAGAACTGGTATAAAGTAATTAATCTGAAATAGTTTATATCTGTATTATCATTGTATGTTTACTTACCCTTCTGGAACTAATTTTTTTTTTGTGGAGCTTGTGTTTAACTTGTGCAATTTCTTTTTTTTTTTTTTTTTTAATGCAGTCCTTCCAGGGGAGCCAGGGACGAGCCTACCTCTTCAATTCTGTGTGAGTATGTGGTTATGGTTCTGTACACCACCTGCAGAGTGTAACTTTATGCTTCCCAAAGGGAAAACAGTAGGAATTAATATAGCTGTACTTTGCCCTGTTCTTTTTAATGCTGGCTTTACTCACCAGCAATAGTTATTAAAGCACGACTGGGCTGATTCTGAAGCATTCCTTTGCACATATATAAGTTTATCTTACATTTTAAGTAACTGTGTTAAGAGCTGGAAGATTAGGGGAGTGTGTTAATGTGAAATTCCTTTTGTGTATGTAATGGTAGCTGTCTCGAGCAGAAGCTGCCGTTCTGAGATACTTCAGAAGTCACAAGATATTGAGTGACTGTAAATTTTCTTTAGACAACTCTGCTGTGGTCTAAAGAATTTCCCAGTCTGACAGTTGGATACATTTACAGGTTAATGTTTCAGTAAACTTGGTACATCCTAAATGACCTTGAATATTGCAATGTACTAAAGGCAAAATGTCTCAGTGATCTTATCTAGCCTAATATTTGCAATCATAGTCACGTCCTTCCCTTGATAGGAGGCTCTTTGCATTTGTTAATGGGTATATTTTAAGTTTTTAATGTGCAGGATTACATTTTTGTCTTTATTTTTCAGCAGTTTTTTGTGTTGTAGCATTTTGCAAAAGAGATACAGTTGAGTGTCCTGGTCTATTTTTGACCAGGATAATGGAACTGTAACTGCAAAGGATTTGATTGCAGATCCTTGAAATTCTTTTAATATGTAGTTGCTCAGTGGTGACTCGGGATTTTTGCTATAATTCTAATAAGAAGAATCTGGTACTACAATAGCAAAAATGGCAAAATTTTTCTCTTGTTTAAAACTGTCTAAAAACTTGGTTTAGTCTTGCCTCATGTTTTCTGCATAGACTCATTTGTGGAAAAATTGGCTTGATGCAGTACTTCATGGGATATTTTCTTTTGAAATTACTGTTTGTTCATCAGAGCTTAGTCTGCTGATCTGTAGCAAAGAAATATTTGTGGCTTTTTTCTTGCTGCTATTTTGGAGCTGGTTCTAAATTCAGCTATTGGTGCTGATTCACTGGGACAGACTTCCATTAGAGAGGTCTCAAATTGTTTTTGAAGTAAAGCCTGAAACTGTAGAAGTGTCCAGTTACTGTGTAGTGTTCTGTTCTTTGGGAGTTTAACTCTTTAGTTTGTCTTTGTTGCTGGGAGCAAGTGGATATCACCAACAGTGGCACCACAGCCACTTAAAAACAAAAAACACACCCCATTTTTTTTTCCCATCCTTCTGCTCAATGTAACAGGAAGTTACTTCTGCAGCACTGAATGAATTAGGCATTTTTTTAAACTGTTTTTTGTCTGCAGGAGAAAAGGTGAGAAACAGTAAGAAAAGAAACACACTCATCTGTTAACATAATTTCTCCTTTTTTTTTTCAGGGTAAATGTGGGCTGTGGTCCAGCAGAGGAGAGAGTTCTTCTGACAGGTTTACATGCTGTAGCAGATATCTATTGTGAAAACTGTAAAACCACTCTTGGATGGAAATATGTAAGTAACTTACTTAAATCCTCAGTAAATGTTTGTATGTTGAAGCAGAGATGATTGAGTAGCCATTGAATAGCACCTTTGTTGACAGTTATGGGGAGTTAGCTCTGGTGCTTTTGTGTACATCAGGCTCTAATATAATCTTGTTTCCTTGCATCTGCAGAAATGCTGTAGCAGATAATAACTTTTTTTCTGGACTGCAAATCAAGTATGAGCTATAGGTGCTATTACAGCTATCTGGTATTTCTGTATTTGGTAATCTTTTTGCAACACTACCAAGCACACATGCACTAAACCAGGTGGGAGAAATTGTCAGAGTGACTCTGTAATGTCTTAGATTGCAAAAGCCGGTTACATAGCAAAAATATTAATTACAGTAAACTGTACTGAGCATATTACACCGTTTATAAGTTATGTGGACTCGATTCTGTTTGAAAACTTACCTGTGCACTTGCAGCTGTATTGCAAGTTTGAAGTTTTGAAAATATTAGATTCTGGGTAGGATTTTCACTGATTGTGTAGCTTCAGATTGTAGATGTTTTCCTAATGCATTCCCTGTGATGATGAATACAGAAGAGAGCTTTTGAAGAGGTTTGCATTCCCTCTTTTCATTACTTCTGGGAATAAATAAATAACACATATAATGTGCCATTTTCTAACCTTCACTTTAAAAAACATTAAAATTCCCTAAGCAGAGAGAGAACATGAACAGTTCTACAGCAAGATCTGTGCAGCAGATCTGCTGATTCCACTTAGGAGAAGTTTGCTTCTGTTTCCTTCTCAGTACTTTTCAACCTCTCTTTTTTTTCCCTCTCTCCCCTTACTCAGTGTAACCAATGCGGGTTGTTAACTGTAAGGACTGGTTTGTATTATCAATGTAAATTTGATGTTTAAAATACTTAATTTCCTGAGCTTAATTCAGTGTTGTCTTCATCTTTTTTCTTTTTCCTCTCCAGGAACATGCTTTTGAGAGCAGTCAGAAATACAAAGAAGGAAAATTTATCATTGAACTTGCCCACATGATAAAAGACAATGGCTGGGAGTGAACCACAACCTTTTTCCTTCTGTTTGGACTATATTCTGTGGAACAGGCTTTACAAAGACTAATGCAAAGTAAAGGAAGAGCTTGGCTAGAGTGGCCCTGAGAATATCACTGAACTCTGAAACCTCACAAATGAGTAGTGTAGTGTAAGTGGCTATTTCAGGCCATGTTTGCCTTTTCTCCTTGTGTAAGTTCCCTCTTTTTGTACGTGTATTGTGTGAACAGTTGTTTTGGAACATTTTGGATGACCTTTTTCTAAACTCTCTCAGACTAGAGAAACAGTTCACTAATTGAAAACAGATTTTACTGGTTAGCATCTCTCTCTGACCTATGCCTTTAATGCTACTTCTGCTGTGCATGCTTCTTGCCTAAACACCTACACTCCAGTCCTGTAGAAGTTCTATACCTGAGCAGTCCGAAAGAATGTATGGGATGGGGTGCTTTTTTATATGTAGCAATTTCTGATGTGTTTGGCAGTGAAGAGGATGCAGTATTGTCGTTATTAATTTCTTTTTTTAATTTGAGTGTACCACAACCTATGTACATCTTGTAGGTGAATTGGTTAAAGGTACAGTGCTCACTTCAAAAAATACTTCAATTGCACTGACTGAAGTTAGCAGGTCTCAAGTTGTTAGGAAAGGTTATGCCAGAGGCTTGGTATCTTAATGATATAACATAGAAAGATTTTAAATCAATAATGCTATAGAATATGTTCCTTTAAGACCAACATATTCCCTAAGGAGTTTGCTGGATAAAAAATTTATAAAACTATAGCTTTCAAGATTAAAAAGACAGAAAAATATATGCATCTTCTATTTTGAAAAAAAGTAAAAATTAGTTGGTATATTAGGAAAAAACAAAGTTTTGGTACTGTACCTTTGCCAGTAACAGGGACTTGTGCATCAGTAAATTTTTATGGCTGGTTCCATTTACATGTATAGTCCTAATGCACTGGACAAAGAGGTTGTTGTCAAGGAAACTTGTTGAAGTCTTCTGCTACTGCTACATTTGAACAAAAATATTTATTTTTGTGAGAAATGGCCAGAGCCTATGACATGAAAATTAATATAGTACCTGTAGGAAAAGGAGGAGTAATAAGAGGGAAGTTTGACTTGTTTTTTCATAAAATAAAATAGCAAGATAGTTTTTAAAATTTGGGGGTGGGGAAAGGGTTTCCTGGTTTGCTGGCTAAATCATCCCCAAGTATCTTTTTATAATAAAAATTTGTATGAAACTCACCTTCTCTTTTGTTCTCATGCTGTTTCTTTAATGGAATCAGTTAATGAGAGAAACTTCTGGAAAGTATATGCACAATATGAGCTGTTGGTATCTGTGTATGCAAACTGAGCAACTGTGAAAGAAATGCTCTACATAAATTTGCTAACTTAATTTTCAAATTAAACAGTCTCTACAGACTTTTTGTATGTTAATCCTTTTAATGCTTGAGGACAAACTGTTTGAAAAAAAACCCTTTAACACTACATAAGTCCTATAACTGAACAATACAGAAGCCTTGCAATACAAAATCCCTTTCTCTCAATAACAATTCTAATATGGCACCTATGAAATTGCTCGCAGGTGCTGCTGCTGCTGTTCTGTTTTTGGGAATCTCTCATAGGCTTTCTGAACTCTGCTGCACTTTAGAAATTGTCAGACATGAAAAATTATGCCAATGGGTAGGGGCAATACGAATCTTTAAAACCAGCTTTCCAGTGTTTTTGTGGGGAGGAGGAGTGAGAAGAGCATTCTCCCAGGTGTACACATTCTCTGTGATGCACGCTGGCTAAACTGCCTGCCAGATGTCATGGTTGATACCCATGAATTTAAAATGTAAGAATAGAGAATTAGTTCAAGTTGTTGGGTTTCAGTCCTTAGGCCTGAGGAGGTACAGTTAAGTTCAACCTGGATTTTGTGGCTCACACGTTGCTATTTCATGTTCACATCAGGTCTCATTTTTAACAATGTCATTGATGCAAGATGGGCTTGGGTGTTGCCTGTCTCGTGCTCTTTTTGATCTGGAATTCTTGGGATTTTGTTTTCCACCATTGCAAAGTATGTTGCCAACAAGGAAGGCGCTAAACTTCTATCGGCAAAAAGTTTGTGTTGGCTTCTAAGTCCTGTTGCAATGTTGATACTTGTGAACAGCTTGTGATGTTTGTGTATCTTTGGGCTTTTCTTATTCCCTGGCTGCAGACTTGCTGAGGCAGTACACTGGACTGAAGGCAAAAGTAATGGCTGCTTTTCCAGAGAGAGCTGAAATTAAAGAAAATATGTAAAGTATTAAAGATTTTTCTCTCCAAAATTGGGGGTTTGACTAGCTCTTGTTAGTAAGCTAATGCCGTCTGTAACACAGTCTTATTCTTAGAAATTCAACCTCTTTCTTCAGTGCATTATTTATATTTCAAACTGGACATTTTCACCAAAACCTTAATTAACTTTGATGCCAAAGGTTGGGGACTTCAAGTGCTTAGCACATAGAGCTTCAGACTACTGGCATAAAGAGTTAATGACCTATATGTGATGTTTATGGCTTTTAAGAGAACCAAACAAAGCAATATTCTCTTTGGTCTGTTATTAAGAGTGGATGCTTAGAAGGAGTAAAGAGTAGAATCTAGTGCAGAATTACTATTTTATGCTGCCATGTAATAATTCTTGAGGCCCATTCTTTTGAGGGAACATGTGAATTTTCTTCCCATGTTGTTTGGCAGCATCAATGATTATTTTCTCCCCTTATAAAGATATAGAGAATTCTTGTTATTGGTTTTGGTGAAAGTTGAATCCAGATAGCAATGACTGCTGGCTGATGTGAAGAGGTCAGTCTGGTCACTGAACCCTCCAGCAGTCATTTGAAAGAAAAATAAACTTACTTGAAAAAAAAAAATTTTACTAAAGCATTTTCCCTCTAACCAATTTTTGTAATATATTAAAGATTATATTTAAAGTTTGTATGTGTTTGCTCTGGGCAAGTTTACTTCCCCTCCAACTTGAGCACTTTTGTTACTTGTACTGGTTATTTTTGGTCTTAACATTTATTTTGTATTTTGTTTTTTATAAATTGTAACAAAAAGCTTTTGTGAACCTTTGTTTCTTGCTGGCTCTTTCTTGGACCAAATGAACTGACTATGAGCTGGCTTAGAAGAAATGTTCATTGGGATGCATAGGAATTTGCTAGCAAAAATGTACATGTATTGAAAGTTTTTTTCCACTGAACCTCTAAAGCCACGCCTGTCCTAAAGTAATTAATCATAATTCGGTGTGACTTTAGTAATCTGACCACACATTCTCTGTCTAGGTCCAAAATAATGGTTGTAACAGTGATTTTCCAGCACTGAGTCTGCTTCCAAACCCTAGAGTTCTTTGGCTGGTTACTTTAAGTACCTTTCTGATTACTAAAAGGCAATGCTGCCATGTATAAAAATCCTGTCACATTGCAAACTTGCTGTGAAATCAGCTGCAGAATTTGGTGAGGGATTGCAGACCGCTCACCCTAACCACTCCTGCTGTATGCTTTTAGAGGCCTGGTAATCTTAACTTCATTTGCCAGTTAAAAGGGCCGGGATATGAATTTCCCTTGTTGATTGTAAGCTGTACAATGGCAAACTGTATGAAGGAAGATTGTTATGGCTCCATCTTAATGTCCCAGTAGCAAGGCCCAGCATAATGACCAGTGTGGGTGGTATGCCTGTGTGCCTGCAGTCCTTGGGAGAGGAGGGAGAATATGGATTATGATATTTCTTTGAGTTAAAAACTGGCCTCAGAGGTTCTGACCGAGACCCACTGCCCCTATAACCAAAGGTCATCTGTATTTCCCGCTGATGGATCAGTGCAAGAGTTCCCTGAGGCTGGGTGCCAGGGTTGGTGGCCATGCACTTCCCTCCAAGTGCCGCTTGTAGGGCTCCTCCTGCCCGCTCATCTCAGCAGCCAGATTGCAGCAGCAGCGACCTCCAGACTCACAGACCAAACTTCAGTCATCTCCAGCCTTGGATATTGGCCATGAGAGGAAGAAGCTGTCAAATTATTATTAAACTTCTTGGACACTTTATTGGACTTCACTGAGACTCATGTTAAGCCAACCAACAGTATAAACACTTACTGGAAAAGGAACAGATGCTTCAGAGGTTTCTTTTTAAAGGACTGTTACAAGTGGTTTAAGGTCTAAAGCATGAGTCATAAATGGCAGTTGAGTTGTGCCTCATTGTTTCTTAAACTCTTAAAAATGCTTTCTTTTACAGGTGACATGGCTGTGTTGCTGTTTTGTCCTTGCAATACTGTACATCATTTGTTGTTTCACTATATTGTATCTATTCGAGGTATCACAATAAAAGCTTTCAATTGTTTTGTTGGGTTACCTGTTGGTTTTGTGCTATCTTTTCTTGCTAATTGAGTTCTCAGGCTTTATCCTCTGGTAGGGCCAGAGAGAGAAGACAGTGCTCCTAGTTGCTCTTAAAAACTCATAAATAGGTTGAATCTGATTTTTGTGCAATTTTAAGACTGCCACAAAATATTTGGGGTTTTTTCCTTTTACAAATCTTTGCAAAATACAGAAGTTTGTGTTGCTTCTGTTTGGGCTTTTGCCTATTTTGAGCCAATTGTGGGACCTCTGCATGGTGAGAGTCAGTCTGCACAACCCCTACCCCAAACAAATCCTGAGAGGAAGTGTGGGTGTGCTTTTTGTTGTGTCAGTTTGATCAGCATGACCTGAGGAGCACTCTGAGCACCGCACTCCCTCTGTTCATTCTGCTTTGGCTGGGAAGAACTCCTGTAGCTCCTCTGATCAGGTTATTGGTCTTGTCAGTGATACAATCCCCCTGGTCTACCTGAGGCTCAGAATGAAGTCCTTCAGTGCACACTTATGTGGTGTCTTCAATAATCTATCATTTCATCTCACAAAGGGATAGGGATGTTCTCCATGCAAGATCAAACACATTATTTCCATCTTGAGAAAATGGAAGATAGCCAGCTACCCTTTTTCTTATTGAAGTGCTGTCTTAGGGGCATGAAATAAGAATCCTTCCAGAGCTGAAAAAAACCCCAAACCCTAGGGATAAAATGGCATTTTATGTGAGAGGTATGGTCTTCATTGTATAAAAACCTTTTTGACAGACTATAATTGAAGTAAGAAAGATCCAAGTAACACATCTTTTGGATTTGAGATGTTCATAGTAACATCCTATTATATTTTGGTATATCAGAGGGACTATAAAACCATCTGTCAACAACTGGGTTACTAGAATAATTTTGGCACTGTGAACTCCAGTGCTCTCTTACCAGCTGGAAAACATCAGATGGGCAGGTGCCTCATCTAAAGCTTAAGAACCTTCCATTAGATGACTTTTTGCCCCTGTTCAATTGCAGTAACTGGGCAGTGGTGCAGTTTAGGGTTCTCCCCTATGCCTCAAGTGCTGCAACTGTGACTGGGGACAGCAGTCGGTCTGTACTGCCAGAGTCCAGGTAGGCTGAACTGGCAAACAGCCACAACTAGAGCTGAGCTTATCCTCTGCACAGGGCTCCAGTTGGGTCACTGCCCATGTGAGGTTCTTTCCACTTTTGTCTCTTCCTCTGCTCCCTGCCCTTGGCTGTGCCCCAGATGGGTCGGAGCAGGGAGTGAGCACCTGTGCTGCCACTGGCACTCACCTCCAGCAGGCACAGAAACTGTGGATTAACTGAGGCTGGACAAAGTAGTTCCTGGCTGTGAAACAGCTCTGCTGAGCCATGGCACTGATGAACATTAACTGTTTCTCCTCTAGCAGAGGCTGAGCTGTTCTCAGGGTTTGGCTCATTCATTTCTACAGTATTGCTGAAGAGGTTTTGAGCTGAGGTGCTCTGTGATCCTGGTAGCAGTTTAATCTATGCTAACCTGATTGCCTGAAGATTTTACTTATAAAGATCACTTGAGAAAGCAGGCAATACAGGTTTTTCAGTGTTCAGTGAATTAATGAGTAGATTTTTTCATGGTCTGATTTCTGTATTTTAATGGTAAGCAAAGCTTAACTTTCTTCTTGCCCAAATAAACTTCAGTGATTTCTATTTTAAGCAAAACCAATGGCAGGGCCAAACTAACCCTTTATTCAAAATGGAGTTTGCATCCTGACATTAGAACATGTATGAAATCCATTCTGGCATGGAATATTATGGATTCCCCTGTACCTGCAGGAAGGGTGGTGAATATTATTTAATTTTCCAAACATCTTTTTGACATGATTAGCTATGATCACTGTTTTCTTTTAGGCTTGACAGAAGTTAAATTAGTTTTACAATACGAGCAAAACCTTCCAGTTTGGGTCCTGGAGCTGATGACAGAGCAACAATGCTGTATTGGGCATCTGAAGTGTTTATCTTATGTTTCAAATGTTGTAGAGTTAAAACTCCAGTTGATTAAATTGCCTGATTATGGTAAAAGTTTTAGGATTTTTTAGCTGTTGGTTGAGTGGCACTAATAGCTGTGTTTGAATAGTGAGTTGAGGTATTTGTCCTTTTAAAGGTGAAATCACATAAGCATTATTCTGCAGAAAAAATTATTCAAAATGTTTCAGTATGGGATCATACTGTGGACCACGCCCACAAAGGTGTAACACTAAGGAAAGGAAAAAAAAAAGAAAAACCCCAACTGCAAGAACTCTGTGCATTGCCTGTGCAAACAAACTTTTTTCCAAAACTTTCTTTAAAAAGCCTACTAGAAGTCTAGAATCTTGTGACAGGGAGCAGGGCTGCCAAGGGCCAGAGCAGCTTGTTTTGCAATTGGGCCCTGGGGAAATTGCTACATCTGGGGGCTGGGTTGAAGCTGTAAAGCACGTGCTTTTGAGGACTGGGGGGGCTTTCCTAAACAAATTTATTTCCTAAACAAGTATTAATAGATTCTCTGCCATGCGCAGGGGAAACCTGCTGATGTTATCACAGTAAACGTTTATTCTGTTAAATTGGAACACTGTGAAACCACTTAGAGAGGCATGTGCTGAGTGTGGTGTGTGAAAGTATGTGGGGCACTGGGACAGGAGGGTGAGGACTGACCGCTGAGTGCTGCGCGGGTGGCTCTGCCCAGGAAAGAGCTGGATCCGTACGGCTCCAACAGCCTGCCCTGCCCGGCAGACCGAGCACAGGTGCAAATCTGTGGGAAAATGTGACATTTTGTGACACTTCAGGCTTCTCGCAAAACTATCCCTCTCCATGCCTTGTGTTAAATAGCAAATGACACTGCTTTTTGTGTGCTCTGTGGAGAAGGATGTGCCCCTGCCCCAACAGCCTGTGCTGGGCAGCGAGCGGAGCCTCCTGTGCACTGCTCGAGGTCAGGCTGGGCTGGCAGCCCACAGCTCCCAGCAGCTGCTGGTTGGGGCAAGAGGCTGTTTCTATAATCTCCTTATAGATGAATTTATCATCTGTTTCCCACTGGTGGTCAAACAAGCACTATTGACTGGCTGGCATGCTCCACTTTGTTACCAACTGTAACTGATAAAATTGAAAATCTGCTTCTGTTTGTCCACTTAAATTATCTTCCCTTCCTTTCTTCCTCTTTTATCTTCCTCCTTCCTCAATTCCCCACTTCTTTATGATACCCATAACAGTCCAAAGTCTGCAGAATTTTGCTTTTTTGTTGTTCCTCTTCTTTCCCCCACAGAATGTGTTACCCAAGGGGCAGCCATAACGATTTGTGGCATGAGAAGGATATTTCACGGTGTTTGATCTAGTGCTGAACCAACCCGAGGGAGCCACTGTGCTCCCACCCTGCCTGGCTGGATGTGCTGGGAGCCAGCATGGCCAGTCCCTGAACCACAAGGGCAGAGGACAAAGTGCTGCTCTTTGCACCTAAACTATCGCTGCTTTACTGATTAAGCTCCTGCAGCAGCAAGGTTTTAGGTCTAAATACAATTTCTTTGGCATGATAATCAACAACAAATGAGCACGTATGAGCTGCAGACCCATAGCCTCCCAGCAATGGCACACTTTACTGCCCCTCTCCTCCTGCTCCCAAGCTGATGAAGCCAATGGATTTTATTTTTTTTAAATAGTACTCCCCCCCAAATTTATTCCTCTCTTCTGCAATGAAAAGTTTTCTCACAGCATCAAGGCTGGAGGCACAAATTAATGCCCTTTAATTACCTACTCATAATATACAAAAACAAAAGCTTTCTCACGTCACTCTTTCAATGTTTACTAAAATAGAGACCTTGCTCTGGCAGATCTCTCCTTTACTGGCCAAAACTCATGCTGAAGGTTAACAGCTCCCGAAGTTAATGATTATCTTGCCTTGTTTGCTCAGTGTTTCAGAGTTAAAACATGTAAATATGCCTCCCCCGTGTAATTGCTGTGGTCAGCCAGCGATGAGCTCTGCAGCAAACATAAACACAGCTATTAGCAGAGACAAATGTTTCTCCCTGGCCTGGCCTCCTGGGGCTCCCAAAAGTGGCAGCTCCCCCAGAAAACAGCCAGGATAAGGCTGTCCTGCTGGCACCGGTGATTACACAGAGCCTGCTATGAAAACCCCCTCTCAAAATAGCAATTTCTAATCTCCCCTGAGGCCATTAATCAGGTTTCTAATCCAGCAAAGCCGTCCGTACTGTACAGGCTGTGATCCCCAGGCCTTTATTAGAAACCCCTCTTGGTCACAGCATTTACTGGGTCAGGGAGAAATTGTTGTATTTGTCTGGGCAGGAATAGTTACCTCTGTATTTTGTGAGACAGATCTGTTATGGTTAATGCCAAGACCTGGCTGGACCTTACCTGTGAGTGCTCGACTTACCAAAGGCTCATCTCCATAGAAATACATCTCAACGTCAACTCAAATTTAGTAATTCCTGAAGACCTAGAGTAATCTCTGCTTTACAGGAGACAAATGCAATACCTGGTCCTGTCTGATTGGTTTCAGATCAGAAAGGAATGTCCTGAAGATGTGTGACAGTCAACACTTTCTAAGCAGCTTCACAAGAGCAGAGGTTTTGCCCACATATTGACTATACCCCAGCTGGGGTAATTGCATCTGCTTCTTGTCCACCATTCCCCTGGGTGATTGTATCTCGGAGGACCTGATGTGTTGTGGAGGTTGGGGGATGTGACTGATGTGTGTAACCTCCACATAAGTATGTGACATTTGCAGCATTAACAGAGATCCCTCTGGCAAAAGGCACTGGACAAATGCAAACCCATCACTCACAAAATGCTGCAGCATCCGTGGGCACGGCTGAGCGTGGGCAGGGGGTGTTACTGAGGCAATGGGCTGCTAAATCTTCTCCTGCCATGGGAGCTCTAAAGGCTCCCTGCAGCCCACGGTGATATTTAGACACTGAGGCACTGGCTGGAGAGATCCATTTTCTACAGGGGCTCGGCTGGAGGATGCTGTGGGGTCAGTGGGGGCTGTCCTGATGCTCAGCAGTGTCTTGACTGCTCACGGAGAGGATGCTGCAGCTGAGCTACACCTGAGGATTTGACTTGGTGGTTCCTTGTCCATAGGGCCATGCCATGCAGCTCAGTGTCCCTGCCAAGATGGAAAAGGATGCTAAGGGGCAGGCAGGGTGGTGGGCAGTACTTTCTGTGCCCCACGGCTTGTTATCCAAAGGCTAATGCAAGTGAGCATGGCAGACATGGGGCTGGCATCATGATTCACCCCACACCATGGATCCTGCTGGCTGAAATCCTGAGCAGTGTAGCCAAGAGAAAAGCCCCCACCTTGCTCAGCCACACATCCTGTATTGAGCAGACCCACAAGGGTGTGGGGCCAGCATGTCCCAGCACTGGATGCTGTCGGCACAGGGCAGTGACTCATTTCACCGCTTGGGACTCTGGGTGTGGATGTCTCACTCGCGTCTCGTCTTGGCAGCAGCAGCTTCTCCTGCTCAAGGGCTTTTGCTCCTGCCCAGCACAGCACAGGGTGGTAGCTAAGCACTCATGGTCCTGGTCCGCTGCTCTTTGTCTGATCACATCAGGCCACAAGCCTGCATTAAAGGTACCTGCCTCATCACTTGGTTTCCTAGAAATCCAGCAGCTGGCCTGGCAGGCAGACACCCAGCCCACAGGGCCGGTTAAAGCAGCACAGCAGTGACCATTATGCAGAGGTTTGCATGACGAAACGTTTGCAGCTATGCCAGAGGGTGGGGGGAATGTTTTCAATGTTTGCTTTTCCCAGTTGCACTATGGATGCAAAAGAACGGCGAGGTGGGACACAGCCTGCACACACAGGTGGGGTGTTGGAGCTGTGCCCAGATGCTGGAGCCCAGCGGTTGTCTTGCCTGTGACCCGCAGTGCCTGGCTGATGGGCATCGCCCAGAGCAGCAGGCCCTAGAGCTGGGAGCTCCTGCTGGAAACCAGCCCCAGCCCAGGGACATGCACTGCTGAGCACTGCACTGGGCCTGTTCAATACTCAGGCTCCTGGCATCGAAAGGAAAAATTCAGTGCAATGAACATTATCTGAGATGCAGCTGCAGCAATGGGACATGGGCAACATGCCCAGCTGTCCTTCTCAGGGGGTGGGAGCCCCCAAGACTTTTTCCAGCCTTTTCTTGATCATGCAGCAGTGCTGTCCCTTGCCATTGCTTTCCTTTGCATCTTCTGGCTTTTCTCTTTATCCCTTTTTTCCTCCTCTTCTCTCTCTTTTCTTTTTATAATTTTCCCTTTTTTTCTCCTTTCCTTTCTTCTCCTTGGCTCTTCCTTTCTGCTGTGCCACAATCAGACAAAGCCTGACAGCCAGGAGCAATTACTTGCTTTGTGAGCTGCTCATGCCCAGCAATACCATGGCCTGACTATGCTGTCTGGTACATAATTCCTTCCTGAGGGCAGGATTGGTGCTGGTGTCTAGGAGGGAGTTGGTTCAAGACAGAACATCCTATCCCTCTGCCCACACAAACTGTTGTTCTGGCGCCTGTTTGTGAGCATTAACACACCATGGTTTTGCCACTCCAAAATCCCAGGAGTTGTAACAAGAGCCAGGGCTTCACCCAACACTGTCAGTGTGAAGGGTTTCATGGAAACTTCTCTGGTTTCTGCATGTCAGCTCTGAAAACCAAGCTCATCTCCTCTGAGCCAGGCAGCAGGTCCCACACTTGAATTCTGCCCAAGAGGTGATGGCAGCAGCTGGGCTGTGCGAGGATCTCCAGCCCTCACGTCATGGGTCAGTGAGATCTGCCCTGGGCATCAGTAACAGTATCACTGCAGCTGGTAGTTACCCCTCCTCCCCATTTTTTCCCATTTTTCTCTCTTTTTCCCACGTTTACATGAAGCTGAGCTACATAAATCTTGGATCTCTTCAGACACTGGATAGAGAAGAGAACGTTGTTGATGTTCTCCCAGGGAAGTCTCCCTGTGGTCAGCACAGGCTGCTGGACTTACTGGATGGGCACAGATGGAAACCTGAGGACTGTCCCCCTGCTCCCCATCCCTCAGCACTCTGCCACCACCTCCAACTGTGCCCCCTTGGTCCAAGCTCTGAGGGGCTCTGGTTTGGCTCTGCTGTTGCTCCCTGTGGCCTTGTTGCTCTGTGGGATTGATTTCAAGGGAAGGTGAAAATGTGGCAGAGGTGTGGAGGCGGCAGAGTTGGGCCCTAGGCCGAACGAAGCTCAGGCTGGCACTGATTCCTCGACAGAGCAGCCTTGCTCTGCCCCTCCCTTGCAAAAAACACATGGATGCTAAAAAAACCCAATAGGCTAAGCTGTAGCAATGTGTTAACTTGTTTTGTTATAGATTACCTGCTCCAATAGACTCCCGGCACTGTGCTGAGCTGGATTTTTAACCTACTTTAGTGACTTTTTTTTTAACACAGGAACATTACAAATTTCATCTGTGCTTTGACAGGGAGGTCACAATCTGACAAGATGTTCATGACAAGATGAGTTGCTTCTGTGCAACTCCAGGAAGGTGGTCGGGAGCAGGGGGGTCCACTTCTAAGCACTCCAACCTCAGAGTTGTGGGGATGCAGACTGATGTGGGTCTGAGGAGCACCCTGACCCCAAGACACACGTGACAGCAGAAGCCAAGACCCTCCATCTCAATTCTGGGCAGAAATGCCACGTACTGACTTATTAATTCTCCCCTAAACATCTGTCATCTCCTAGCAGGACTGGTGGAGGCCCCCTGCCCCCCACCAAAGGCCCTTTGCCAGGCCCAGCAGTTCTCCGGGTGGTTTCCTTTCTGGAAAGGGTTCAGGTGCTGCCCAGAACATGGGAGGGTTTTGCTGACCCCGCAGCCTGTAATCCTACTCCTGGACTTGAGACACCTCTTGGCCCCGTTCCCCGCTCCTCTGTCCCCAGGACAGGCTGTAATCATCTCTTGGCAGGACAGCCCTGACCTGAGCAGTCCAGCTCCCAGCAGATTTCCCCAGCCTCACCAAGTGTTTGCAAAAATACTGAGTGATTTATTCTTGACAGCTCAGCTGAACGAAAAAAAACCCACATTGCTCTTTACATCTATTCTTAATTTTGTTTTTTTTTCCTTATAACAGAGGTTGCTGATAGTAATACAGCAGGAACAGCTCCTGGACCCAAACCTGACAGATATCTACCCTTTTTTGTGGCAAGTGCCAGCCTAGTTTCTTGCCAGCCCAGTGTCTGCTGACAGTGTCCGGCAGCAATATGTGGGTGAGCTGTGCTCCCTCAGCCCTGGTTTGCGATGGGAATGGCGGGTGACACCCAGCCCTTTGCTGCCACTTACAGTCGCTGTGAGGTGACAGCTGACACCCCCCCATCCCAAATAGCTGGTTAAGGAAATATGGCCAGATGAAAAGGGTGGGAGCACTGACTATGCCCCTACAAGACTGGACCTGGCAAAAGCCTGTGATGGGCAGAGGAGAAACCAGGAACATTTACTTAGCCCTGGCAAGGTGGGGTGGGTGGTGTTACTGGTTTCCTTGTCTGCACTGGGAGTGGGGCTGGCAAGGGAACTGAGCTCCAAGTCCCAGCCCACAGACCCAGCAGGGATAAGCACGCTGTTTGCCTGGGAGGGGGAAATACATCAGTGTCTTAAAATGTGACCCTCCAGGTTATTCATCATGTAAATATATGCTCTTAACTAATCAAAGCTGTAAAAGTCAGTTGACGTCTTCCTTGCGTCCCTCCCTGCTTCCTCCCAGAGCTCCCCAAGGTCTGCAGCCACAAACACGGTAAAAAATGTGCTTATTCAGTTGAGACCCTGGGAGCACTGGGGACTGGGAGACAGCCCAGGACTGACAGATACGGAGCAGGATGGAGAAAGCAGGATTACTGCCTGGGGTGAGGCTGGCATTGGCCAAATCAGGACAGGGAAGGTCCAGCCATGCTCCCATTAGCTGGGGTGCTGCAGGACCTGGAGACAACGCCTCCATTGCTGGACAAAGAAAAGCTGATTCCTTGTGACTGTTGGACATTGGGAATCCTGTTCATGGTCAGCCGTTTTCCCAAGCATCCCTGCCTCCCACCTGCCCTTCCCAGGGGTGGTCATGGGGCTTGACCCCCATTTCCATGTTTCCTGGGAAGAAGCAAGAGGGCTGACCCCAGCATCCCAGCACTGGGATAGCTGAGCCCTCCTCCCCCCACAAGCCCTAGGCTCCCCCTCCCAGCTGCCTCCTGCCGCGGCCTGGCACACAAACCCAGCTGCAGACCCAGGCTGTGCAACAGCTAAATACTGGGAATCTGGGTGGCTGCCAGGGACTTTGATCCCCAGCCACAAAAACCTCCTCCGCAAGCTGCCTTCTCTTGCAAAATAACCTCCTGTGGGGGCTGAGCCGGCGTGTGCTGCCCCTGAGACCTTTGCAGCCCCAAAAAGGGAGTTTGGTCAGCAGCCTCACCCCGCAGTGATGCAGTGCCAGTGCCAGTGCCTGTGCCAGTGGTGGAGCCAGGCAGACGCGTGTGGTACCAAATACATTTACCTTGGACTGCTCCCAAGCACTGCTGCACTTCTCCATGGTACATCTGCACATTCCAGCCCCAGCAAGGCCAGCTGAAAACCTTCCCAGCTGGGAAATCCCAAGCAGAGGGTATGTGCCTACCTTGGCACTCAGCCTCTTCTCCCAGAGGTGCCCAGTGGGGCAGGACAGACAGCACTGTGGGGCGCTGGGATCCTGATCCTGCACTGCAGGCTGGGTGGTTGGTACAGAGTTATCAGAGGTAGATGACAGTGACTGCCTTAAAAACATTTTAAAAGTTTTTAATTTTTTTTTTTCAAATTTTTTTTCTTCCCAAGGGTGGTCAGCAGCCATAGCCCACTCTGGCTAATGGTGGGCAATGCTGAGCATCTGGGTACAAGCCTTGGGATGTGCTAGGCATGCAACATCAGCCTGGCCAGGTGTGACAGAGCTACAGGTGCCCTCTGCTGAAGGGCTCCACTGAGCCACAATTTGAACAATTTATTTTTCCCTTTTTTGGTGTCCTTCTTCCAATGCCTGCATCATCCAGCATGCTGGTGGAGAGGTGCCTTTTAAATTGTTTAAAGGCAAGCATGGGAAATTGAGGGATTTTTCAGTGAATGACAGACTGCAGCCTGATCAAATCAAGGTGAAACAGGGTCTGCATAAATAGGGATGTTTAAAAAGATGGCAGAAGGATATCTGGGGTTTCTCATACCAGGAGGTCTCCTTGCAGCAAATAAACCCTATCCTGTGGTACGAAATGCTGCCATTTGATGATCTCCCCTGAGCCGTTGCTGCAAACACCCCAGACCTCCAGATGGACACTGTCTGTGTGGTCACAGCCAGTCCTGCTCTGAGCTGCTTTTATTTCACTGTTCTGGAGTTAAACACAGATTTCCCTCACCCTTGTTTGTCACTTTCATGAGCATTCCTGCTCCTTTATTTCTAACTGCAGCCTTATCTCTCACACACTTGAACACAGTGTTCAGTGAGACACCTCTGCTTTTCATCCTGGGACTGTGCCTCCATCTGCCACCATGTCCTGACCATCCCCTGGGTCTGAGAAGGTTAGGGTATCAGCCTTTAACACCACTCCAGTGTCACACAGCTGTGGCTCCCCAAGCCCAGCAATAACTTGGAGTTATTGCCAAGTAACCTGAGTGACTCCCAGCACCCTCCTCCTGGTCTCCTTGCAGTTAGACTCCAGCACACACACTCTTGGTCACACCTGGATTTATGATTTTTCAGCCCTGAGCTGACACCCTCCAGGTCTAACATTTCACCTGCAGCACCCTCCTGGGTCTCCCTGTGTTTCAGGACCCTCTGGCTGCTGCAGCTCCTGGAGCTGACTGGGACCAAGGGCAATTCAGTGCGTTGGTGCTGAGCAGTGCAGATCATTGCTGGGGCTGCTGCTGCCAGCCCTTGTGGTGCAGCCATGGCTCAGCAGGCACAGGAGAACTTTCTGTCTTTATGAGCCAGAGTGCTGTACTTTTTTGCACCCCACAAGGCTCCCATGGATTGGGGTGAAATCAGGGTTTGGCTCCGTGTCAGTCCCCGCACAGCACCTGGGAGTGAGATAGGCCCAGTTCTGGTCCCAGTGGAGGGGATGGAGGCAGCAGCAGCAGCAGCAGCAGTACACCCTGTTGCCAGACCAACCTGGGCCAAGGCACCCAGCAGCTCCACAGAGCTGGGCATGGAACCCAACACTTTCTCAAGAGAATGGAACATTTTTAACCTCTCAAAAAGAAAAAGAAAAAAAAAAGTCCTAACCCCAAACAGTTTTTTAAGGAAAACCATAGATTAGAAATACTGTAAGCAGTGGAGACAAAACACCAAAAATAGCATCCGAAGTTTCCTCCGCGCACTCTCCCTGCAGGCAGCCTGCACTATATTTGTCTCCACTTGCCATTTCTGCTGCAATCAATTTGCAATTGCCGCTGGCGAGGAACCCATCTATTAAAAGCTCGGCTGAGATCTGTGGTGAAGATGTCTCAAATAAAAAAATCTGGCCATTCATTAAGAAAAACAAACAGTGCCCTTCTCTGCAGACCTTCCCATTCCCAACAAAATCCACTAAAACCATCCCTGGCCATGTTATCTATCCTCAGGAGCAGCTGTGGAAGCCCAGTGCGGGTTTCCTTCCACGTGGGGAGGGATTTGCTCTGCAGCTGCTCCAAGGCTTGGAAGCACTTGGTGTTTGCTGCCTGCTATGTCTTATCTCCGTGATTTGCTGCAGGCCACCCTGGGGAGGCAGATTCCTCCTGGGTCAATTGCTTTTATCACAAAAACAAATGTTTTCCATCATCTTTCTCATCCCGGGATAAAAGCGCAGCAAAGGAATCACACGCCTTCTCGTGCTGCCTTGGTGGGCCATGCTGCTGGGCGCTTCTCTCCCTCCACAGAAATGTGGAAGGAGGGACAGGGAAGGCAAACAGGAGCCTGGAGTGATTCCTGTCTTTGCCTAAAAGAATTACCCCATGGGGCTGCCTAAAAAAACAACCCAACAGGACTCCCTAGGGACACACAGCTCTGCCCCCAGGTTCCTGTCCCAAAAGCATCATGGCCAGTGCTGACAACAAACCGGTTTCTCCAAGAGCCAGGCACTGGCTGGGGGCCTGTCTGACCCCCTCTACTCGTGAACAGGACACCAAGGGAGGCAGGAGGGCTGTTTGAGGAGGCCAAAGGCTCAGAGCCCATGTAGCCAAACACAACAGTGGCTGCAGGGGGATACAACTGCTGCCTATAAATAGCACTGGGAAGCAAACATTAGGGAGGCAAAAAAGCTATTCAAGCTAAAGGACAATGTTGGCACTAAAGCAAATAGATATAATTAGCCATTAATAAATGAAGGCCAAAGATTAGGGAAAGTAATATCAGAAAAGTGAGAGCTGGGAAGGCTTTCCAGGGGGGAAGGGCAGAGGAGACCTTGACCAGCATTTAAAACAGAGTATGGCTATTTTTTAAAAGCCATTAAGTTATGAGCTGTCAAACCCAGCCTGCTGTGATTGCTGATGAGCCTTTTTTTCTGTATAAAAGGGAAAATCTGACCTCTTTGTGATGCTGGGAATGGTAGAGGGGCCTAGGAAGCTGCCCTGATCCCCATTCTGCTTCCTCCTCCCTTGGTGAGATTGATCAATCCCAGTCTGTCCTGGAGCCCTTTGTGCCTTCTCTGCCACTCACAATCCATTGAAGTCCTACAGCCATTCTCCAAACCTGCCTGGAGAGATGCTTTAACCTCTGAAAGCTCCACAGGAATGCTGGAGGGGGCAAGTGCTGGCCCTGTGCCATGGACTTGCCCCAGCCTGGAGATGTGGGGCTAGAGAGGGCTTTTCTCAGCATAGCTGAAGCATCGTGCTGGCAGCAGCAGCTCCTGCCAGCCTGATCTGCAGTGGCCAGCAAAGGGCTGCCATGGCTGATGAGGCAGGTGGATGCAGAGATTGGTGCCTGTGGGACACCTGCCTTGTGCCCACAGCAGCCCTTCACACTGGCCCCAGTGCCACAAGTCCTGTCCCTGCACTGTTCCCCTGGAAAAAGCCAGACTGGACATCCCCAGGGTGCCTCCAAGGGAACTCAAACATCCCTGGCCATTGTGGCAGAGACATAGTTTGGATGATCTCTGTGCTGCCCCAGCAGAATCCTCAGGAAGATTCAGCTCACCAGTGATTAAGAGTGAGGGCCCCTGTTACCTGAGACAGCCACTGCCAGCTGCTGCCTTGGCTTTGCCTTACTTTGCAACCAGGGGAATTGCAGGAGTCCTCTTCCCTTGAAGCCCTCGCAGGGAATCAGGTGCCTTTTCTGGAATATACATTTTAGCCAAGGAGCCATTATTGGCTGAGTGTCAGTACGGGTATAGTAGTGACAGAGACGGTTCCTCCTCGGTTGCTATTTCCAGAGGATGAAGTCACCGGGCTGCAGCGCCCGAGTTCCCCGGAGGCTGAGTCAGTGCGGGCCCTGCCGAGGCTCTGTGCGCGGCCCCCAGTCCGCAGCAGCCCGCCATGGTCGGTGCCCCAGGCCGAGGGCTCCAAGCATTGAAGCAAGATGGCGTCAGGCCAGCGGCCCCACACGGCTTCACCGCAGGCGGGCGGGCCCCTGGCCCAGCTCCCGCGCCACGTCCCGCCACCACCAGCTCTGCCCCGAACAGCTGCCTGAGCCTGCAGTGGGAATGTCCCTAACGGGCCGTGGCTCTGGCCCCGGCCCCACAGTCCCAGCATAGGCTGGGTAAATCCTCCACAAGGCTGTGATAACAAATACAGTTCCCAAAGAAAGAGAGGAAGTGAGAGCTCCCCGGCCGCGCCGCCGTGCTGTAACCCAGCCAGGCCCGGCGCTGCCGCCTCTTCCTGTGCCGTCTCAGGGCGTTTGTTTGCCTCCTCCAAAGCAAACAGTGTGGAAACCTGGGGGGTGTTTTGGCAAATCCCCTCCTCTTGCTTATAAAAGATGCTTCCTGTGACAGCTTTCCGACATCCTGTTCCTTCCAAAGGCTGCTGGCAATGGGTGCCAGGGGCATCCCAGAAGTATTTGATACTTAGAACCCAATGGTTTATCCACCAGCTGCTCGCTGCTCCCTCCACCTGCAGGGCGGCCATGCCATGCTTGTGACTCTACCAACAGCCGAGGGGACTCACAACCCGTCCTGGGCTCATCTGTGTCTTGAAATAGGCTGGAGGGAAAAGCAGGATTTCCTTGGAGAAGTTCAGTTTGACTTCTCACAGTTTGTGGCCCCACATGAGGTGGGAACCATGATGATCAACCACATGATGCTGAAGCAGAGCAACTGGTAGTCTGAACTCCTAGGCTGCAGCCATTCAAACCAGCAGGGAACAGGCAAAATTAAACCTAACAATAATATTTTTTGCTTTTTCTCTTGGTAAATATGGTAACAGAGTTGCAGCTACTTGGCTTGAAAAACTGTTCAATCTGTGCTGTTGCCCATACAGACAATACTTTGCTCCTTGAGGGGCCAGGCTGAATTCATGCCAGAAAAAGCAGAGGTGAAGAGCTGAGTCCCCCATGAGCCCCCTCTTTGTGTGTGGAATCAATCGGCCTCAGCTGCCAGCCCCACCACACACCACTGCCTTGTCAAGGGTGTTTTGCTCTCTGCTATAATACAGATCTCAAGAAACAATGAATTCACTGGTCACCCAGTGCCTTTCAGCACAACAACTCAGGTATGGAGCAGTGCAAAATACGAGAGGGCTGGTGTTATTCTAGTCAAGGCCAGACAAAAGCTTCTTCAGCCCCTGGTTAAAATCCTGCTTTTTCTCTCTAAGCACATTTACTGGAAAAGTGTCCAAGAATGTAAAAATGTGCTTACAAACAGCTCAGTGGTTCCCAGGAGTGAGTTCCTGTAATAAGACTGCACAATTCTTGCTGATCCCTCTGGCCATGGCAGGAGCTGGATGGGTATTCCCTTAACACACCATTTTTGGTAGAGAACCAAGTGATGAAAGGGGAAAAAAGGGTTTCAGTATAGCCTCCTTCCTCCCCTTTCCTAGCTTAGGTAGTGGAAACTCCTGCAAGTCACCCTGCGAAGAGCCAGGTTTTGGAAAAATGAGGGATACAGCCCACTGCCTTGCTCTCAGTGCCCCTGCCATCTTTCAGAGAAGAGCTTGAGCTTATGTGTGGATTCCAATGACTGGAAGAGAAGATGAAATTAAAAAGAAATTGACTTGAATACACAGAATGAGGGGTGTGGGAGGGAGCGGAGATGGGGCTCTGCAGGACAAAACTCCACTGCAGGAGTCTGGCTCTGGTGGAACAGTGACAGTGCTCTCATGAATCCCAGTCTGGCTGCTGACTCAACACTGGGCTGGCCAAACCCTTAGGCCACTGCAGCACCCTGGGGATGGCCCAGAGCCAGTGTCCCCCAGCCTGGGAGCCACCGACAGCAGCTGGGAGCACCAGAAGGCCAGAGAGCTCGATTCAGGTCCAGAGGTGAACCATGGCTGGAGAGCTTCACCCCTGCTTGGAGCAGAACTGAAAGGGTCACACTCAGCCCTTCCTAGAAGCCAGGAAATTGTTCTTTTGTGTCTAATGCTATGGTGGGAAAAGGGGCAAAGGGGCATTGCAAAGGCAGTGTTTGGAAGGGCAGCAGTCCCTCTGCATTGTGCACAGCAGTGGCTCTACAGGGACTGCAATGGGCTCTGCCAGAAAGCTGGAACAGAATAGGAAAGTGGGCAGTTACCTCTACAGCATTTTGCCCCTTGGACCAATCTGCAGCAAGGACTTGCTGAAATGGGAGCCCTTGTCACACCTCTGCTGCCTTCCTTGTAATCAAAAGCTCCTTTCTTTTATAATAATCTCCATTTTAATCTAGTACAAAACTAGCATTTTATCCTTATGGATTCCTAAAACTGCCTATCCCAGCTCTAGCAATGCTGTGAACTTCACTACTCAAAAGCGTGCTGAAGTATGAGTTGGGTAAAGGAGATCAATAACAATTTATCATGAAAGGAGCAGTGTAGGAGAAACAAGATGTTCCAATAAGACAGAAGAAACTCAGCTTTAGGAAAGTACCATCAAATTCCCCGTTCCAGTAATCAAACCTGTTATTTTAAACTTAGGCGTTTGCAAAACAAACTCCCCCTATTATTCTTTCAAATTAGTTTGAACTTCCTATAATTTAACAAAGATGTAATCATATCCGCAGAGATCCCAGAATTCCTTATGAGCATCTTAAAAAGCAGAAATGAATCATTTCCTTGTACAACAATCAACTTTGCAATGCTGTGATCTTGGAAATAACAGTTGAACAGTCAAAGTCAAGCACTCAAAAGAAAATAAAAGCATTTAATGCAAAATATTTCAAAAAGTTTTTACAGGAATTTCCTATAAATGGAGTCTTAAAGAATGAAACCACCAATACAAATGTGTTGTTCCAAAGGGGATTACAAAACTTTCCTCAGTCACACAGGAGGTAGGGAGGGCATTTCTCTTATTTGAAAACACCTAAGATGAACTGAAAAGTGATATTCAGGATCTAGCCTGCTACATTTAAGTGATGGTACAACACAGATTCTTTGGGATTTAAACTTCAGTGATGTATCAGGCTGATGTACCCATTAAGGCTTTTATTAAGATTCCTAATAATTTGTGGGTATGCAATGGAAATATCTGAGATGCCTGTCAGCTACATTATGTGGTTTTTCCTAATGATGGGAAGCCTGAGATCAGAGCAGACTATGGGGTGTGTTACCCTGCAAGGACTAGGCTTTAAGGATGGGTGTTACACAAAAGAGTTGTTTCTGTTCCTGTTCAGTTGCTCAAGGCTGTAGTTTCTGGCACCTGAGGGCAGGTGTGAACTGGTGCATCCTGGCACCTCTGGCTGTCCAGTGACTCAGGGAAGGGCAGCCACTGGGAGGAGTAAGTGGTGCAGCTGCCCAGGCTCCCCATGTAGATTTGCCACTTCCCAGGCTGTTGGAGGCTTTAACAGGTACAGAGAGGCCCTTCAGATGACAGCAGTCACTCCAGACAAAATTGGTCCTTGTTGAAAACCAGGAAGAGGCAGCTGGAAGGTAAGGGCAGGACAGGCTGGAGCCCCTCCACATAGTTCTCCAGCAGCACAAGTTTCCCAGCACATTAATTCATTCCCTCGCTTGGCACACTGGGCTGGTCTGGGAACGATTACCTGTAAAAGGAGCTCTTTCACCACCATAGCTGCTTACTGCAGAAGTGCCCTGCAAGGCTGGGCTCTGCCTGGTCTGCTGCCAGCCACACACAGAAAGACTCCAGCTGATCCCCAGGGAGCTGGGCTGCCTGCTCCCTGCTTTGCAAAACAACAACAAAACGGCCTTCGAGGAAGATGCAGAGGGGGAATGTGCTCTCTAGAAAACAAAGCCACATTAACCAGCCTCAACAAAGCAGCAGTTTTCTCTGCCAGTGGAAGGGCAGGCCGGTGCCTTCCCTCCCCAGGACAGACTGTCTTCTGGGCTCTCTGGGGCCACGTGGGAGGCTCCTGTTTGCGCTGTGCTGCCCCAGTCCTGGGCTCCCCACGCTGCTACCAGGAGCTGAAGTCCCCAAAGCCTGTGCTCTTCTTCTCTTTCTTCACAGCTGTGCTGGTTGAGGGCCCATCATCCTCCACGCTGCGCTTCCTGCAGCCAGAATGAAAACAACTCTCAGGGAGTCTTTACTGTCAGTGAGACCAGGGCAGCTTGGATGCCTGTTCTGCCTGCCTTCTCCCAGCACCATCTATACTGGAGCCAGCCAACTGGACAGGAGTGCAAGCTCCATGCCAGCATGGGGACTGCAGAGGTTAGGGGTCTTAGGCATGCCCAAAAAGAGGGCAAATGAATCCATGGGGATGGTTTGGATCAGGCTTTGAACACTCCCAGGTATGTGTTCAAAGCACAGAAAGTTCTCCAGGCCAGAGCTGAAGATTTAACAGCTGTACAGCCCTGTGCTCCCACAGCAAGCCTGGGAACCTGCTCCCCTTTTTAGCATGGTGAGGAAAACACGAGCCATGAGTTCTATCCACACCTTCTCACCTGCACTTGTGGCAGCAAAAGGATTTATGGGGAATTAAGTATAAAGCAGCTGGGAGAGCTCATCTGATCCTTCCTGTTTCTTGAGCCCAGCCTGTTGCAGTTGCTGCTGCTATTACCAGCCTCTCTTGACCAGAGCTTGCAACCCCAGGGAATGCTGTGCAGCCAGCTCACACGCTGTGGTTTTTAGTCAGATATCAGTAGCTGACAGAACCCTAAATCTGCCAGATCAGGCTGCAATGACTGAAGGTCCTTTCTATACTACCTGCTCTTTTCCACAGAGCCACAATTGCTGGATTTCCTCTGTAAGTAAGAGTGCAGTGTGTCAGCAGTTTTAAGCTGGACACAGTATTTTAAGGGACACACAATAATCTGCAATTGAAAAATTTTAGACACACTAAACTGACCTACCTGAGCTAACATATTTCTGTTCTCACAGTTATGCAAATGCCTGTAAGTCACAGAGGCACACACAGGCTGATTAAATGGCTGCCCAGATCTGTGTATGCATAAATACAGGCCTTTATGTAGCAGACAGACAACAGCATTTTTGCAAATGCTTCTAGAGAGGTCTGCTAAAAATCAAGTGGAAGGCATTTATTTTAATTTTTCCAAAACACATGCTAAGCTGCTGCTCAGCCAGGATTCTGTGCTGTCCTTAGGAAAGAAGTGCTGCCAATCCTGACAGGGGTACAAAGAGTGTCTGGGAGAGGGTGCTTTGGGATAAGCCTGTCCAACCAGCCAGGTACCCTGGAGCTACCCAGCTGCCCTGTGCTCCCACAGCAAGCCTGGGAACCTGCTCCCCTTTCTAGCCATTTCAGCTGTGCTGGTACAGCTGTTTGTGTGGCTGAACAGGGAACCAGAGCAGCAAACTGACAGGGGCCTGGGGCAGCTACTTCGTGCAGGGCAGAAGCTGCTAAAAGAGAAATATCTGTGGGACTATGGCCTTCAGAAATAGCTGCAGAAAAGGAAGAGGATAAAAAGATGGTGTAGGAAGTGACACAGTACAGTTCCTCAAAGACTTCTGAGTTCTGGAAATGTATCTACAATTCTAAAGTCAGAAAATGCTTTTAAAGACCAACTTGGTCATGTTCAAGGGCTAAAAGACAAGCTCAGTTAATGTGTGACCTTGAAAAACAACAGAAGTGAAGTAAATTCTTGACTGTTAGGACTACATGAGAGTGTCTTTGCTGGCCCAAACCAAACATCTGAGCAATGGCACTGTACAGGGCCAGCACCCAGCAGGAAAGGCACCTAAAATATTCAGCAAAAATCAGAAGGACAGGGAACTCACGCTGCAGCCATGTTGATATATTTTCCAATCCCCTGCCGGTAAGTTTTAGGAATCTGAACCTCTTTCTTTGGTGGGACCACTTCAGCCTTTATTTTGGCTGCTTCTTCTTCCTGCTGGAACTTCTCTCTTTCAGCAGCAACCTGTGGGAAGCAAAGGGTGCAATCTGTTGCAAGAGATAGTGCAGAATAAGGAGAAAATGTCTGCAATTCTTTGAAGCTTTAAAGCACTATAAACCAGCAATCAGCACCACTGAGATTACAGGGCAGGCTTTAGGAGACAGTCCTCAAGGACCAGTACAAACAGGCTCTCTGCAGCCATTATAGCAAGACTCCTTCTCACCTACCCATAGCTACTGGAGGCATTTGAAAGGAAACCATCAGAAGCCTGATGGACTGGGAGCTGTGCCAGACTCAGTTACAAGAGTAACTCTCCATTGAAAGAGCAGCCAGGATCCTGGCAGACAGGCAATGTTGAATGGCAGCTGCTTAATCTTAGCTGGCAAACAGATGGGCCAGGGGGTACCCATGTGCAAAGAAACGGCATTAAGTTGCAAAGCTCCCCAAAAGCTTTGGCTTTTCAAAAAAAACCTCAACCAATCAAGCAACCTCACCTGTGCATCTGCCTCTTCATAGGGATCAACAAAAACGGTTGTTGTCTCAA